CATGTCAAAACAAGTCTAACGACTGACTTTCTATTTGTTGCAGGTTCCAAAACCGAATCTGCCTTTCTGTAAAGGTTTCATAAACGTTAAGCATTGAAAATCAAGTAGAATGGTGGCTTTTTGATGTTAATGGGTCTTGGTATATTAACCTTTCTAATATTAAGTGTTAGAGAAATACATAGATCAGAAATTCTCTCTCTTGTTGCAAGTTTCACATTTTTTTTATTTTTATAACACCCTGAATTTTGTCAGATACAGTCCAATACTCTATACTGTGATTATTATTATGAAAGGGTACTGAAAAGTTCTTGGCCTTGACCCACTTTTCAGTACCCTCTCAAATAAGCTGCATGTTCCATTTAATAGACATCATCATCTAAAGTGCTGTAGGTGATACACCCATGGGCAAATGGTTTGAAATCAGAGAGGCCCACATCAACATGCTGTGTTCTAGTCTTTGTTCAAATCATTGTACTAAGCCCAAGGAGTTCATTTTTTTTTTTTTTTTTTTTATTGAGGCTTGAAGTGGGGAGTTGGTTCCTATCTTTGAGATGACACGAGGGGGATTTGTTTTTTAAGTTACCTTCTTCTAGCCTTTGCCTAAAGAGGCAGGACCTACAAGGCAGTAGGTGTTTTGAATTCAGAGTTTCCCCTCTCCTAGACTGGTTACCAACCAAGGCTATAGGGCCCAGTCTATTCTGCTATTTACCAATATTAACCTTCTAGCCTTTGCCCAAAGAGGTGAGACCTTCAAGGCGCAACAGGTGGTTTGAATTCAGAGCTTTCCTTCTCCTAGACTGGTTACTAACCAAGGCTACAGAGCCCAGTCTGTTCTGCTATTTACCCATAGCAGGTAGGGAGGAGATTGATTCATACTTTTCCTCAAGGGTATTATCACATAAGTGAATGCAATGAACTCAATTCTGATTTTTCAATCTAAGCCGCTATCCATTACTCTGCCATACATCCATTCTAATTTGATAATGTTATATAAATAATAGATTTAATAACTGAACCAGGACCATCACATATGTGGCCAGGAAATTTGGCAGTTTACCTAATGATTTACTAATTGATTTCTCATGGATAAAGCACTTGTATATGCTAAACTGATTTAGTCCGGGTCTTGGCCAAAATGTCCATTTATTTGAAAAGGTGTTGAGTGTCATAAATGGAATTAATATTTATAAAGTGTATTATTAATATAGTGTGTAAAGCTTTCCAGGGAACAGAACTTTTTTCAACTGTCCATTAATTCAGACTCTAATTTTCAAACAAGCTTCCTGGGAACTTTCACACATATCAGCTACATTCAAACGAGAAGCCATGTGCTAATCAATTGCATTAACATTGGGCTGCTCTTCCAGGATAATTGAATAAAAACCTGTATAAATTTACTACGTTAAATTGTTCTCCATTTGCTATGTCTCCAATATTTTATTCTCGGTGGAAACATTACTAACAATAACTGAGCAGTACTTAAAAAAAAAAAAAAATAATACCAGACATCTGCCTAGAGCATCTGGCAAGAGACAATACTGAGTTCTGCATCGTCGATTCAAGGATCAGCTCAAAAATACCTTACTGAGGACAGAAATAATTCCAGCCAATTGGGAGATGGCTCAGTAGAATATGGTCCAGGGACTGGTGACTCATTGTCTAGGGCCTGGTAGAATGTGTCCACAGCCTGGTATGAGCACCCCCAATACTCACCAACAAGTTCTGGCATGGATTAAATGAGTTCCTGAAAATTACATTAATTGACAGGCATCTGAAGAAGGCCAGAGCACAATAACTGAAACTTTGTGATAGCTAAAAGGAGGAACATGTTAATAAATACAGATAAATAACACAAATAAAATCTTTTATTTTTATTTTTATTTTTTTTCTTACAGTAAGGTTCACCCAGTACAGGGTTCAATGGATAAATTGTCTAAATTATCATATTTTCTGGCTTACAAGATGCTGCGGCTTGGAAGATGCACTCTAATATTGGAAAGAAATTTCTAAGAAAAAAAAAATCATTCACCATGCGTCCATAACATACTGGTGCCATGTATTGTTTACATTAATCACTAGTCTGATTTCGTTTGTATGGCAATGACATACTAGTCAAAAGCAGAAAGGCTCCTTCTGCTGTTAGTAAGCAGAGCATGTTTAAGCTTGTGGCTTGGCTTCAGGAAGGTTTATAGTCTTGGAAATACTTGTACCAGCTAAGTATCGAGGCTACATCGTATAAAAGGCTGAATTAGATAGGTAACATTATAGTGTAATGACTCAACATACAAATCCATGTCCCTATCAGTCAAGCCAATTAAGTGACTGTCCAAGCTTACTTGAGCCTGGATGTTGCTTTACATTCATCTTGGAAGGGACACAGATATTTTTCAGGAAAAAAAGTGTCTTGTAAGCCTGAAAATACGGTACACAAAAATCAAAATAACACTGACATCTCATTTTAACAGATATATTTACCAAAATTACACAACAATAAGAGTAAATTTATTCAATAAAATTGTCATTGGCTTCAACCACAGCTTCAGAATCTCCTGCAACTCTTCTGGATGATCTCCTTGTTTAAGTTGATGATTGCTGCTATAATCCTTGCCTTCAGTTCATCTTTGGTGTTACAAGTTTTGTTAATCTCTCACTCAAATCGCAATTGAACTCATGACTCTGGGTGAAGTCACTAGATTCAACCAATGTTTTTATCCACTGGGCCATGTGTCTTTCAGGACATCAATGTATGAAATGTTGTGAATATGGCAATAAAGATGAGGTCAACAGTTCGAACAATGTAAGTAATAATATAAAATGTCAGCAGTTCCCCAAATTTCGATTTCCATGACTTAATCAAATTGAATGTCCTTGTTTTAACCTGTGAAAATTTCATGGTTTTACTATTTTAATATTCTGATGAATCTTAATTCTTAAGTTAATGATTGAGTAAGCTCATGATGATTTCTAGGACAACAGAATAGTCATAGAAATTCTGCTATGACATCATTAAATATTTGAGCTCAACAATTTTAACTAAATATTGCAATAACAATCATAAATATGAATGCTTGTTGTTATTTAAAGAAGTAAGGGGGTACAAATGAAAAGATTTAAAATTGACAACTGTTTCCATTTCACTGAAACAGACATTAAACACTTCTTTCTTTCATTTTTTCACTGAAACCAAGTAGTGTCTCTGATATGTCTTTTGTTTTAAGATCAAAACTGAATAGTCCATTATTTATGAGGCATTAGCAGGATATGTTAAACACTTTTTTTTTTTTCAGTGAAACCTTTCTTTCATTTTCTCACTGAAACCAAGTTATCTTTTCCCCTCTTTCCACATGAGCAAAATGGAGTAGTCCATTATTTATGAGGTATTGGCAGGGCGTAACGGTCGTGTGAACTAAAAGGGAGGGAAAAGCACAATTATTATAGGATTTTTGTTAAATTCTTTCAAAAGTATAAAACAAGCTGTCAACAGAGAATTACAAAATGTTATTAAACCCCCACCCCTACCTCCTACTCCCCAATAAGGGAAGGATATCACATGGGGTTGCGTTTTAATGTGAGATTCCTGTACATGCAGGCTTTGACAGAAATTGTCCAATTCCCTTAGCATTTCCCTTTTGGGGGGAATGCCTCAAACCCCAGGCATTGACCTTGCCCCCTCCCCACCAACCACCACCTGATTACTCTCTGTCTCTTTTTGGGGGATGCCTCAAACCCCAGGCATTGACCTTGCCCCCTCCCCACCAACCACCACCTGATTACTCTGTCTCTTTTTGGGGGATGCCTCAAACCCCAGGCATTGACCGCCCCCCCACCAACCACCACCTGATTACTCTCTGTCTCTTTTTGGGGGATGCCTCAAACCCCAGGCATTGACACCCCCCACCCCCGCGCCAACCACCACCTGATTACTCTCTGTCTCTTTCTGCTCATCATTAATGTTTCTGTTCCTAATTCTTCCACAAAACAAATGCAATGAGGAAGAGGAAATTGGACTTTGGTTAATTTGCACTTCCAGTTTCATCAAGAGGTTGCGAAGTGTTAAAAAACAAAAAAAACTAGTGATTTACAAACTGTTTTCTTACACTTAAGAAATATACGTAGGAAATAAATATTTTTTTGCTCCTTGTAAGGAGGAGTACAATAGATCCTTTCTTCTTGTTTCTTTCAACACCGTTTAATGATGATAAAAAAAAAATTAAAAAAAAAAAAAACAATCTGTTTGTGAATAAGTTGGGGAAAGGAAATGCGACAAAATTGAAAATAAAAGGGAAGAACTATGATATAATTATGCTAATCCTCAGTGAGTGCTCCTCTGTTCTAGTCTTGTGCCGGACTAAGTTTATGAAATATCTCATGAACATCTGCTAATGAACAGTTTAAACACTATTTATTTTATTAGATTATTTATTTACAAGAGTGTGGTCATGTCTTTGTTTAAAATAGCCGTGAATTAAGAAGGCTGAAGTTAGAGAAAGTATGGAAGAAACAGAAGACTAGGTAGGAAAAACAAAAATGTTTATTAAATACTCATACATACAATGGAAATACTTGAGTAAATCAACTACTCAAATCCTACTCTAATGTAGCTCCTTGCCATATTTATAAGTAAAAGCAGCCTGGTTTCACAAGAGTAGTGATGAGCAGGAAGTATGCAGAGTCCTACTCTACAACATAGAATAATAAGAAATAATGTTTGATTAAAAATAAAATTAAAAAATTACATTAAAAAAAAAAAAAAAAAGCTAACCAGTTATCATTTGTTGCTCTTCAAAGCTCAATTGAAGACAAAAAGATATAATGATTAATTTATACATAAGGACAAAAATATTGTAAAAACTGATTTACTCATCTCTATCTTCAGGACTCTTCTGATAAGAGTAAAATTTTCTGTTCTTTGGAGCTTGGCAAATAAGTAGAATTCTTTTTACTTCCCAGATAAATGGATAATAATTTTGCAACTGCATTCTTCCATAGGTAAACTAGCCATGGCCACATCACTGGTTCCCATAAAATCACCAAAGTTAAGCAGCATTAAGCCTGGTCAGTACCTAGATGGGTGACCACTTGGTAATACCAGATGGTGTAATGGATAATGGCTCAGAATTGGAAATCAGAGACTCCAGTTTCGATTCCATTTGGCTTCGTTATATTCACTTACGCGCAAATACACTTGCAAAAGGTATGAATCCATATCTTCTCTCCCCAACTATAGGTTAATTAGTAAGAATTGTATCACTAAATTAATGTCTCAAAAAAAATCTTACTATTTAAAAATATTTTTTGGCTTAAAATAACCTGCAAAGGGTTAAGCTGTAAAAAAAAAATGAATCCATTAATAAACTAGTCTAGAAGTTACAAACCTTTCAAATTATGTTTGGCTTCTTGAATCCATTAATTTTTTCATCTTTTTCATTCTTCAGCCTTCATCAAGGGTATAATTTTTTTTTTTTTTTAACTAATGTCCACCCTATACAAGGACTGAGAGCCACTTGAGGTAGAGAGTTACAGATAGTTTGTTGTATGGACAGAAGTAATAAGAGATGCAGATTATGAGGAAATGTGGGAAAGATAATAGTTAACTCTAGATTAAAGAGGTAAGATTGTAGTGCTTGGGGAAGCATCCTCTTGGGAACCAGTTCCACAAAGTAGCAGTTTGTGGGAAGAAGCTGTTCTAGTGGGACATACTTCTCACTAATGAAACATTAAGGAAATGAGGGTGGTTCGCTTCAATATATGTGGCATGTCAGGTCTTAGCTGGGAAGGTTACAATTGGTGGAACTAAGGACTGTAGTTCATCAGAACATTTTCCATTCAAATAGCGATAGAGTAGTTTTGTTATGTCAATGAACACTCGTTGCCACTTTTGTAATGTCAACAAATACTCGTCACTTTCATAATGCTTGTTATAGTAGAGACTTTGTAATCGCAGATACAACTATGGTAATGCAATTGAAGAATACTGGTGTCAGACGCCTTCAAATATCATTCACACAAATAATACCTGCTCGATAATACTTGCTTGAATAGTAACCACTGAATAGGGATCTCTTAGACCCCATGCTAATTCCCATATATACATTTCCTTTACCATCACATGATCTACTTATTCAAAAATGGGATTGCCTGTGTTTGCTCTCTGGTGATCCATGTTCAAACTCCAGTGTCAGCAGTGACATTTTATTCCTATATAACAAGTAGTGAGAGGCTTACTATGTTTTGTATGTAAAAAGGGTTATAGTGTGAAAAATAATTCATCACTCACAAGGCTGTGTCAATGCTTTTGGATCTACAAGAAGAAAAATCTTTAAGTAATGCTCATACCATTGTTATAATGTTAGAATAATGATAAGAGTGAGGCTAAATTTTCCATTAAAAAAAAAAAGAGAAAAAGTTGCTTCAGTTTTGAATTCCATCAAATTAACATCCAACAAATCAAGGATATGTGGTTTTAGGTTTTTATTGAGCATTTGATCTTCTTGTAAGTCTGTGCTTGCTAAGTTGCTTCTTGTTATCCAGTTATCTTGACTGTTTATATCCTAAGTTCAATTGGACTCACTTATGTTAGTGCATCTAACAAGATCTTTCAAGAAGCAATTCTGCACTTGGTGGGTTTGAGGTAACATTCAACCTTCAGTACATATAGGACTTTGAAATGATAGTAGATTTTTGTATCGCTTATGTTAAACCCAGTAAATATTGTGGTCACCACAGATTAACTCTTTTTAGATCAAAGTGCCTGATGCGCATTCTGATATTTCCTGGTATGAATCATAACTTGAGTACCTGTCCAACAAGTTGATTAATACTAACTCCTCATTCTTATTCTATCCTTAACAGTACTCCCTGTAAATTACAAGGACCTTGCCCACACTAAATGTAGATGTCTCTTCTAATCCAATAGCTTCAGATCTCACACCTCTCGCCTGTGGAACTCCCTTCCCTATTTCAGTTTCCCTGAGAGCTATAATCTCCAACTATTCAAATGCAATGTCAATCGACATCTCCAGTTGCCTTGATCTATCCACTATCCTTCTCCTCATCTTTTCCTCTATCACTCCTATCTGATCTTGCTCCAAATCTTCTGTAACCCCTTGCATCCTAGTGGCTTCCCACCTTGCTTGGGGTGAAATGCTTAAAAAAAAAAAAAAATATAGCGTTAGAGGAGCATTACATAAAACAAGGTTTAGTAAATGTATAATTATTTGGCAAGGCAATAACTATTTATCAAACATATTAGCCAGTGTTGCATAGAATTCTACTCTGCACATGGCAATCAATCTCTAATGTCAATTCAACTGCTAAGATCAATTTACTAAACTCTTTATGGGTTCGCATTTAAAATAAAGTGGTGGAGATGACTCTTTTATTCTTGAGGGGTCAATAAGTGATTGTTTCCCTTTCCTTATTTTAAACTTTCTCTTAACAATGCAATAAGTGATATTGGCACTGTTGTGGTAAGAGCCTGTTACCCTCCTTATTATCTTGAATAGACTGATCCATTCATGATAAGTAGTCTTGGAGAGCCGAGTTCAAATTCAAGTTGAATCCATTACATTCACTTATGTGCTAATACCCTTGGGAAAGTTATTAATCTTTTTCTTCTCCAAAAGCTATGGGTAATTAGCAGGACAGACCTGGTTCCATAGCCTTGGATGGCAACTGATCTACTGCAGAAAGAAATGGCAACCTACAGTAGGAAAAAATCTGCCTCGTCAGTCATGTATCAAAAGATACATGATCGCCTAAGCGTTTATCACATAACTGAGTGAGTCCTGAGTAATTGGCAAAAGAAGATAACACTATTGCAGTGACGTGTTGTTAACAAATCTCCCAAATGTCACATCTGCTTGCTTCTACTTCCAACTTTTTCTTTCTGCCCCTCATTGTCATTGTATACTGCCTTTTAAAGCAAATGATCTTGCTCGTATGCAAATGACTGACATTCATAAAAAGGCTTAGCATCATGTACACACCTTGGACCTCTTGTAAATGGCAATGTGGCAGGCTAGACACCTTGGGTCCTTTTGGATCAGGTAAGTACAAATATCTGTCGTCGCACTTGTCTGAATATTGATTACTGTTATCATAAATGACTCTTGAGTTAAGTGTCGTGTCTTGCCAGACCCCGCATGATGTACCATAACAATCCTCTTTCTTATTCCTTAGCTTAAACTTCCTCTTAACAATGCAAATAATTGACATTGTCACCTTTCAACAATAAATGAAATACTTTTTCAAAAATAAAGATCAAGATTTGTAATGTTTATCTACAGTTAACCTAAACGTTTTTGAATTTGTATATCTCGGACACAAATTGTCGCCTTTAAGCAATCAAGACTTTCAGAATAGGCAGACTTTGAATCGGCATCTTTCAGCAAAAAATGAAACCATATCCACAATTCACTAAAATCAGAACATGAAATATATATTCTTGATTCTATTATGTGCACACATATATACACATTCTTAATTCTATTATATACACACAGGTATACACATTCTTAATTCTATTATATATACACAGGTATACACATTCTTAATTCTATTATATATACACAGGTATACACATTCTTAATTCTATTATATATACACAGGTATACACATTCTTAATTCTATTATATATACACGGGTATACACATTCTTAATTCTATTATATATACACGGGTATACACATTCTTAATTCTATTAATTCTATTCTTAATTCTAATGCACGGTATCGCATTCTTAATTCTATTATGTGCACACGGGTATCGCATTCTTAATTCTATTATTATGTGCACACGGTATACGCATTCTTAATTCTATTGTGTGCACACGGTATACGCATTCTTAATTCTATTGTGCACTGCGGGTATACACATTCTTAATTCTATCATGTGCACACGGTATACACATTGTTAATTCTATCATGCATTGCGGGTATACACATTGTTAATTCTATCATGTGCACACGGGTATATACATTGTTAATTCTATCATGTGCACGGGTATACACATTGTTAATTCTATCATGTGCTATCACGGGTATACACATTGTTAATTCTATCATGTGCACACGGGTATACACATTGTTAATTCTATCATGTGCACACGGGTATACACATTATTAATTCTATCATGTGCACACAGGTATACACATTGTTAATTCTATCATGTGCACACGGGTATACACATTGTTAATTCTATCATGTGCACACGGGTATACACATTGTTAATTCTATCATGTGCACGGGTATACACATTGTTAATTCTATCATGTGCACACGGGTATACACATTGTTAATTCTATCATGTGCACACGGTATACACATTGTTAATTCTATCATGTATCACACGGGTATACACATTGTTAATTCTATCATGTGTACGGGTATACACATTGTTAATTCTATCATGTGCACAGGTATACACATTGTTAATTCTATCATGTGCACACGGGTATACATTGTTAACATTGTTAATTCTATCATGTGCACACGGGTATACACATTATTAATTCTATCATGTGCACACGGGTATACACATTGTTAATTCTATCATGTGCACACGGGTATACACATTGTTAATTCTATCATGTGCACACGGGTATACACATTATTAATTCTATCATGTGCACTGCGGGTATACACATTATTAATTCTATCATGTGCACACGGGTATACACATTGTTAATTCTATCATGTGGGGTATACACATTGTTAATTCTATTATGGGTTACACATTGTTAATTCTATCATGTGCACACGGGTATACACATTGTTAATTCTATCATGTGCACACGGGTATACACATTGTTAATTCTATCATGTGCACGGGTATACACATTGTTAATTCTATCATGTGCACACGGGTATACACATTGTTAATTCTATCATGTGCACACGGGTATACACATTCTTAATTCTATCATGTGCACACGGTATACACATTGTTAATTCTATTGTGTGCACACGGGTATACGCATTCTTAATTCTATCGTGTGCACACGGGTATACACATTGTTAATTCTATCATGTGCACACGGGTATACACATTGTTAATTCTATCATGTGCACACGGGTATACACATTGTTAATTCTATCATG